GAATTGATGCAGACACTGTAGTTCTAATGGCAGCTCGAGCCTCTCGAATTGAGAACCAGGATGCGATTGATACTGCTATTGTTGGGATGTTGGCTGATCCACAGGAGGTAACTTTACTGCTGTCTGACCTTATGATTAATGTGTGCACTCCAGCTGGGAAATTTCTCTAAGCGTTGCCATTAATATAGGCACGTGCTGGCATTCGTGAAATACACTTCCTTCCTTTCAATCCAACTGATAAACGAACAGCACTTACTTATCTTGATGGTGAGGGAAAAATGCATAGGGTCAGCAAAGGTGCACCGGAGCAGGTACTTTAGTTATCACACAGTGCTGCCCTCCTTTGCTGTTTTTACCTTTGTTTACATTTTCTAATCCACAGCTGCAATATTTATTCAGATTCTTAATCTTGCACACAACAAGTCAGACATAGAGCGTAGAGTTCATACAGTGATTGATAAGTTTGCTGAGCGGGGCTTGCGGTCGCTTGGTGTGGCATATCAGGTATTTTTATTTTCTTTTATCATTGCCAGATATATATAAGTTGAATGGACCAAATCCACAGTTTTGGGTTATAATGGAATGCCTGCAGTAGAGGAGACTAGTGATCAATTCTCTTTGCGCCCACAACCTATGCTTTTTGCAAACAAAAGGTTTTATCTGTTTGATTATGCATGCCTTCTAATTTTCAATGCAGGAAGTTCCGGAGGGAAGAAAGGAGAGCGCTGGGGGGCCATGGCAGTTCATTGCTCTCCTCCCTTTGTTTGATCCACCTAGGCACGACAGTGCTGAGACTATAAGGAGGGCTTTAAACCTTGGAGTAAATGTCAAAATGATCACAGGTATCATGTGGTTTCTCATACTATTAGACAGTTCCATTCAATGTGTTGAGATGTTTTCAGCAAATTGTATGCATATTGTGTTGGCAACTCATTTGACGGCTATGATTCTTACTGCCCTTCCCCTGGGTCTAGAGAGAGTGTTAGAGAAAATAGTGTATTGGGTGAGACGAAAATTCTGAAAGATGGTAATGAACTCTTCTGTGAATCCTTGGTCATGATTGGCAAAGTTGGATCTATGGATACTACTCTTGATTCTGCCTTGGGAGTTAAATGCTGTCCTTTTTCTTTTCTTTTTATATTATCCTATTTTGGGTGAGGAGGACAATGGGTAAGAGTTGGATTGATGGAGTAGGCACTACTCTGTCTGTGGCTGCTTGAAGTTGTCATGATCTACCTGTATCTTGCCATTTCATCTTAATTTGGACATCAGCCTGTATTTTCTTATATTGCTTTCCATTGTAGAAATTCTGAGATTTAAATATTTGGAAGAGGTTGTGAATCTTAGTGTATCACTTAAAAGTTTAGCGTGATTTGTACTTTTCCAGGAGATCAATTGGCAATTGGAAAAGAAACTGGGCGCCGCCTGGGAATGGGTACAAATATGTATCCTTCATCTGCTCTGTTGGGACAGACGAAGGATGAATCAATCGCTGCTTTGCCAATTGATGAACTTATAGAGAAGGCCGATGGTTTTGCTGGTGTTTTCCCTGGTATTTATTTTTTAAATGACTCTTTTGCTTATGTAGTTGTGCTTTATGTATAGAACTTTGGTTATAAAAAACAATTGGCCTTTGCTGATACCTTGTTGTGGTAATTTATATAGAGCACAAATATGAGATAGTAAAGCGCTTGCAAGCTAGGAAACATATCTGTGGTATGACTGGTGATGGAGTCAATGATGCTCCTGCTCTAAAGAAAGCTGATATTGGGATTGCTGTTGACGATGCCACTGATGCGGCTCGCAGTGCTTCTGATATTGTCCTTACTGAACCTGGTCTTAGTGTCATCATTAGTGCTGTTTTGACCAGTCGAGCAATCTTTCAAAGGATGAAAAATTACACGGTATTCTTTTTTCTTTTTGGGGTTGTTTCAGTAGTGTAAGATAAAAAAATTACTTCAAGGACTATTCCTTGAATTCTTAAATGAGTTTACTGTTCTTAACCTGTCGCTGAGCTATGATATAGATAACTCATGAATGTGTATATTTTTCATTGGCAGATATATGCTGTTTCCATCACAATCCGTATTGTGGTAAGTTATTTGCAACTGCTTCATTCTTTTATCTTGTCTATCTTATGTTTCAGGATCAAATGCATCTTGTACTTTTTTCACCTGTTTCTTTTATTCAATGTCACAGCTTGGTTTTATGCTTCTGGCTCTGATCTGGAAGTTTGACTTTCCGCCTTTCATGGTGCTTATCATTGCAATTCTTAATGATGGTTAGTCTTTTCACCAATAGAAATATATCTGATACTTGAGCATTTAAAGTCCACCATATCGACCTCTAATGGAGGATAATATTAAAAGTGTAGGATAAGTTCAAAACTGAAATATTATTAGCCTAATTTTGTTGTGGTTGAGTTTTTCAATGTGTGCAGCACCTCTCTGGTTTAATACTCATGCAAGTATCATTTTTCGTTTCTGCTCAAGTCCTTACTCAGTGTTGCTGACATCTAACCACCAAACACTGACAATATCAGGTACCATTATGACGATATCGAAGGATAGGGTCAAACCATCTCCTTTGCCTGATAGCTGGAAACTGGCTGAGATTTTTACTACTGGAGTTATTCTTGGTGGCTACTTGGCAATGATGACGGTCATTTTCTTTTGGGCGGCATACAAAACAAATTTCTTCCCGGTGAGCCCACCTGTATATCCAATACATTAAAATTTCTGTCAAGGATGGTGTGATTGAGGCCTCCCAATTGCTGACTGCTCCAAATTTAGTTGCCCTTTTAGTTTAAGAACGGACACATTTATATAAAACAGATGCCGATGATCTTTTTAGTATATGGAAATAGACAATATATCTCCAGTCTAATTTAACCAAGTGTATGAAGGATATATTAAAAGCAATCTGCAGGCGTACAACTACACATTTACTGGCCTTTTTCATCTTACAAACAATAACATAAATCTTTGGTCTCACCTGTGCTTGTGTTCTTTTTCCTTGTGATAAACAAAATCTTGTATTTGTTGTTTGTAGTATTTAGATGTTGAAGTAGGACATTAATGTTTGGCAACTCTTAGTTTAATATCTAACTTAATTCGGTGAATTTCTAGCGAGTATTTGGGGTATCAACACTTGAGAAAACAGCAACTGATGATTTTAGGAAGCTCGCATCTGCGATATACCTTCAAGTAAGCACTATCAGTCAGGCCCTGATATTCGTTACAAGATCTCGAAGTTGGTCGTTTGTGGAGCGTCCTGGGTTGTTGCTAGTGTTTGCCTTTTTCGTTGCTCAACTGGTGAGCCATCTGGTGTTTTATCATTCTCTCAAAGTTTCCCTAACTTCATGGATCATCTAATAATTGGGAACTAAATATGCACAGGTTGCCACCTTGATTGCTGTTTATGCAAATTGGAGCTTTGCTGCAATTGAAGGAATTGGCTGGGGTTGGGCTGGAGTTATCTGGCTTTACAATATTGTTACCTATATCCCACTAGATTTGATCAAGTTCCTCATCCGTTATGCTCTCAGTGGGAAGGCCTGGGATCTTGTTCTTGAGCAAAGGGTATGAATTGGGAAGAACAAAGAGATACTTAAGAATCATTCCCACTCCTATATCTATTATTATCTTATTGGTATTTGATGGTTTCTTTATTGTTTTTTTCTCATAGATTGCTTTCACCCGGAAGAAGGATTTTGGAAAAGAACTGCGCGAGCTTCAATGGGCACATGCACAGAGAACCCTTCATGGGCTCCAAGTTCCAGACCCCAAAATATTTAGCGAAACTACCAATTTCAATGAGCTTAACCAGTTGGCTGAGGAAGCGAAGAGGAGAGCTGAAATTGCTAGGTTAGTGTGTCATTTGAAATGGTCTCTTTTTGTCATCAGGAGCATAATGGATCAGTTAATTCTCATTTCCCTTGAGCGATAAATTGTAGTTGAATGTGAACCGGAACTTGCATTTGCTGGCATTACGCACATTACCATTTTAGATAATGGCATCTGCAGTTATTGCTTAATCTTAGCTAATGCTGAATGGTATTCTAAAACCTCAAAGCTGAATTTTTCAATTGTAGGCTACGTGAGTTGCATACACTGAAAGGTCATGTTGAATCAGTGGTGAAGTTGAAGGGTCTCGACATTGAGACAATTCAGCAGTCATACACCGTTTAAAGGGACCGCGTGAAGTTGTAATCAAACTGTTGGTGTTGTGATGAGAGCGAAGACATCAAAATGCTATACTGAGTTTACCCTTGAAACAACATCTTCATAGGTAGTTAGATTAGGGGAGTAATATTTTTGAAGTTGTTATTTTGCTGTTTCCTGGAGCCTTCATATCCCATAGCTCTTGTACATGTTGTAGTGACTCAGAATGGTGAACATGAAGTTACGCTAGCACTCGTTTTCTATATTCGTAAAACCTTTTTTCTCATTATATTTTGTCGTTTCACATCTACATTATGTTGTACTTTCCCCCTTCAATTTCTTCACTTCATATAATACTACTAGTACGACAATAAGCTCTTCCACACACTTCTAACTATCAATGCGTTCTGAGTAGAGCCTAGGCTTGCCTAGTGCGATTTATTACACCGTGGGTGAGTGGTTGTGGGAAAAAAACGTAGTTTTTTTTTTTTTTATAATTCCAGAATTAGGTTATTTCAATCTTTTGCCATTGGAAGAAAGTACCACTCTTTTTCATACTTTTATACGATCATTACAATATGTTTAGTAATTGTAGAAAAACCACGGAGCAGAAGATACTAACTACTGCATTAGAATCATTAAAAAAAAAAAAAAAAAGACTGAATAGCCAACTGGCGTTCATCCATCCTACCATTTAGAAAAGACAAAAAAAAAAGGGTGGTCAATTCATTTGTCATTTTTAATTCGATAGTTGAGAGATGTAATTTTCGGCGAAATCTTCTCCAACAATTTATTTAAGGGAAAAACTGAAAGGAAGTGTTATGTGTGGATAAAATAATGGAAGAAGATGATTCTTTTCATTCAAATACTGATGCAATAATCTGCCCGACTTCTGATGTTTCACAAAGCTTGTTGTCAGATCCCAACATTGCCTCGTCGCCTTTGACGAGTTCAGACGACCAACAGCAGCAGCCGCACCAG